CCATAATTATAAACATATTTTAAAAAAACAAAAATCGGACACTTTAAGAAAACTCAGTCTATAATGGGTTAACGAAAAAATATTATTATAGGTAACCTGGTTTAAATAAATTAAATGAAACCATCAATCAAGCTAGTAGGATTTATTTTATATTATTTATCAATAATCAAATTCAGAACTTGAATATTCAACTGCAATGTCTGCTCATGAACGCTTCAACTTCTCGGTACTTCTTTTCCAATTCCATAAAATTCAACAATTAGAAAGTGACAAAAATTTTTTAAATAGGTAGTTGAAACAAACCACAGCTAATTTTCGTAGTGGACTGTACTATACGATAAACATGTCAGTCAATTTGACAAACATTATTCAATGAAAATATTGTCCGAACCCTTAGTATTTCTCTTCGACAAATACTTTAACACATTGTGAACCACTTTTCTTTCACGACTATAAAAAGATTTTAGCAATTGAATCCACAAAATCAATTGCGCACATTTAAAATAAAGTTTGTTTACACTTTGACAGCAATAGACTGACATGCAAGGTGACATGTCAATGAAGTTTTCAGTTACTGTTGCCATTAAAATAAATTAGTACCATTAGTTTTCCGCAACATGGCGAGGGTTTTTATGTTCCTGGTCAGGCTATAAGTACCACGGGCGAAGCCGGGGCGGGCAGCTAGTATTATATGTAATATTATTGTTAGAGTATTTTATCTGTAGTTATTACTGTATTTGTGTACATCTATGTTGCATTATGTATGTTTATTATGAGTTATTTTAGTATTGTACGCGCCTTAGCCGCCTCTCACATTGCAGTCTCACTTACTAGGTGTGCTGGAAGAAATTTCTTTTTAGAAATAATCTTTTTGTACGTGAACAATAAACTATAAATAAATAAATAAGAATGACGTCAATTTCGAAACACCCCCTCCCCCCTATCTATCATTTACCGTCATCCGCAGACCAGCCCCCCCCCCCTAATTTAGAATGACGTTGATAACCCAAACAAGCCACTTCTGACATACCAATTAACTACGCTTAGTTTTGGCTTGAAATGTGCGCCGTACTTGGCTACTCGATGTTTGAAACAACTCGCAGACGAGAACAAAAAGTCATTTCCAATAGCTTCTTCTGTTATAGTTTCAGACTTTTATATGGATGATTTGATTCATGGTCAGGACGACGACCTGGAGTTAGCCAAAACAGCCGTTCAAATAGACAACATTTTGAAAGGCGCAAACTTTCACCTAAGAAAATGGAAGTCCAACTCAGAAACTGTAGTGGACCATATTAGAAACTCTACTCATGCACCTACCGATAACAACGAATTAACTTCGCTAGGGTCAGGTACACATAAAGTATTAGGACTCGCGTGGTCAAATGATGACGATAGCATACGGTATAAGTTACAAGTAGAACCAGTACCAACCGACTTAACCAAAAGAAAGGTTTTATCTATAGCCTCTGCCATTTTCGACCCTTTGGGTCTGTTAGGACCCTTAATAATAATTGCGAAATGTTTCATACAACGTTTATGGAAAATTAAAATTAACTGGGACGAAAACCTACCTAACGAGTTTTGTTATGAATGGGAATCATTTTATAACAAATTAAATTATGTAAACTCAATAGTTATTCCGCGACTTGTCCTTATCAGTGATTACATTAAGGCGGAGCTGCACGGATTCTGTGACAGTTCATTGACAGCTTATGGCGCGGCTATCTATGTACGTTCTCTTGATAGGCATGGTAACGTGGTTGTACGATTGCTTTGCGCGAAGTCGCGGGTTGCGCGAAACGAAACAATACCGAAATTAGAATTACGTGCTTGTTTATTGTTAGCCATATTATACAACAAGGTTAATGATGCCCTAAAACAAGAAATACCTAACACATTCTTGTGGTCAGATTCCAGGGTGGCGTTGGCTTGGATAAATTCCAAATCGGACAAATTATCAACCTTCATCAAACATAGAGTCACTGAAATAAATAAATTAACCAATGCGAAGGATTGGTACTGGGTTTGCTCGAGTGACAACCCTGCGGACCTGCTGTCGAGGGGGGTAGAGGCAGATAAACTGCCAGCGTGTTCCCTTTGGTGGCAGGGCCCCGCATGGTTGTCCCAGCCTACGATTCCAGAGAACATTCTATTACAACCCTATTCTTATGATGAGACTTTAAACACAACCAATTGTAACGTTTCTACCAATTCTAGTGATACAATTGATAACAAGTTGTTTGAACGTTGGTCGAACCTCAAGAAGTTAAATCGTTGCTTTGCATTTGTGTTAAGATTTATTCACAATTGTAGAGATCCAAAAAACAAATTAACTACTTCATTGTCAGCCCTAGAGTTGAACGATGCTTTAATCAAATTAATACAATTTGCACAGATTCAGTCGTATGCTACCGAATATAATTTACTTAGTAAAAATAAACAATTACCGAGGTCATCGAACTTATTGTCCTTGAATCCCTTTATTGACGAGGGGGTTATGCGTGTGGGGGGTCGTTTAGGCCAGTCTAACTACAACTACGATAAGAAACACCCCATAATACTACCACGTCACCACCCACTTACAGAGTTGATAGTTGTTGACTTTCATAAGCGATTGTTGCATGCAGGCCCGCAATTATTATTGTCATCCATACGTGAGCAATATTGGCCTGTGCACGGCAAGCAACTAGTAAATAAAATAGTACATAAATGTGTGACGTGTTTCAGAGCTAAGCCTAAGGTAACTACACCGATTATGGGTAACCTACCCCCATCGCGAGTTAACCCTGCACTTCCCTTTGTATTGACAAGCGTTGATTACGCGGGCCCATTTCATATTAGGGACAGGAGAGGACGAGGATTCAAGGCAAGTAAATGCTATATCGCTGTATTTGTGTGCTTAACAACCAAGGCTGTTCACATAGAGCTGGTATCTAGCTTGGAAACCAATAACTTTCTCGCGGCTTTTAAACGATTCATATCCCGTAGGGGAAAACCAAAAGAAATGTTGAGTGATAATGGCACAACATTTCATGGAGCTAACAATGAGCTTAAGGAATTGTATAATTTTCTAAGAGATAGCTTGGATGAGTTTACAACCTCATGCGCTAGTGAGGGGATTATCTGGAAATATCTGCCTGGTTACACCCCGCATATGGGGGGGTTGCATGAGGGGGCTGTAAAGTCTTGTAAATACCATCTGAAACGAGTATTAGGTAATTCTTTGTTGACTTTTGAGGAGTTCGCAACCGTTCTCACTCAAGTAGAATCCATTCTTAATTCTCGGCCCTTGTGTCCGTTGCCTAATTCAGCTAATGATGAAATATTTTGTTTGACGCCAGCCCACTTCTTGATAGGCAGAACACCCATTTCGATACCTGACTATAATTATACAGACGTGCCAATGAGCAGATTGACACACTATCAGCAGTTGCAACAGCTGTACCAAAGCTTTTGGCAGCGTTGGTCGAGGGACTATATTGGACTTCTGCAGACCCGTACCAAGTGGAGGAGCTCAAAGGGCATCAGTCTACGTGATGGCACCATCGTACTCGTGAAGGATGACCGGCTGCCCCCGAACCAATGGAAACTAGGACGCATCGTTAACTGCTGCAAGGGGAAGGACGGAGTCACGAGGGTTGCGGAGATCCACACTTCAGGGGGAGTCATCAAACGCGCGTTCAACAACATTTGTCCACTACCTATAAATGGAATTGATTAATTATTTAAGTTTATTACCTACTAAGTTTCAATATTATCTTAAGTTAATATGTATGTATATTGTTTGTATTAATTTAGAGTCAAGGGTGTACTTACCAATAGTTACTATGTACCTATGTGGGACTTGGTTTGTATTCGTTTAAATAATTTCCTATTGTTTGTTTCAATTACCCACTTAGGATTAGTAGGTATGTGTGAAACCTGGGTGTCTGGTACCTTTTTTCATGGATTAACAAACTTAAATGTATTTCAATTGATTAAACTTATTATTACCAGAGACCTAGATTTTACTGGATAAGGTTTTTTAGTTCTGTATTAATAATGCCTGTGGTGGCAGCATGTCAAGGACATTGACGTAATATATGGACGGCCCCTATGTGGTCGCGATCCTCATCAGTAAGGGACCGAGGAAGAAGAAGTATAATTTTGTAAAAAAGGTTCGCCCCTTTGCGGCCGACGTAAGATGTGTGTGTGTGATGATAATGGATGAATGTTTACCCTTTCAAACAAAAACTACACAGTTTTGATGAAACTTTAGTATTGCATTGTTTATTTAAACAGACATCGTATAGCATATTCTCGTAGGCTATGTGTAACGTTGTCTGAAAACTGAATTTCATTCAAACGATACCCCGGGCAAGAAGATTTTTGAACCTCTTTGCCTGGGTGATCTCTTTTGACCTGTCCTAAGGGTGAGCCACTGGTAGTTATACAGTACGTTTAGAAACCGGATAATTAGAGCCTGCCCCGGATCACTTGGTAATTAAACAGGATGCGTCGGAGAAAGGAACGCATGCATAATTTATAAACAGGATGTTTCTATTGTTTTTCTATGATGAAGAGGCTCCTGAAAAGACGCCGATCCACTTGCAGTGTCAATTTGTCATTAAAACACAATGGTATTACCTCTTGTTCTGCTTCTGTATGCTGCACAAGCTCTTAAGTAAGCCATTTTACTTTAGCTTATTTTTTATCGGATTCGTGGATACTTTTATCGTAAAAAGGCAACTAACGCCTAAAAATTGTAAGATTTCGACATCCGTTGATGAACAGTAAAATAAAAATGCTGATCCATTGCTAATCCTGAGGAATCTAAAACATTTGAATGATGAATCCCTGCGACACAGTTTTGTCCTACTGCAGAGGTCATCGTTTTACTATTGCACGAGCACGGTGCACGAGTATCTTGAGACTTTGTTGTTGTTGTACCAAATAAATTATTATTGTTAATAAAGAATATATTAAACTTGTGTAAATTAATGAAGATTAATAATTACCTTGGGCACCCGCACCGCTCCACGCCTTCGCTTACACTGTACACACTCCCGCGCCGCATCCGCTCGGTGCCGCGCGCCGTCAGTCCCGCGCCCGCATCCACCCTGCCCGTCTCGCTCGCACCCTCAGTCCATCTCACCCACACTAGCTCCCATTCCTGCTAGTCCACCATCCTCTACCCTACGCGTCCCGCCTTCGCATCTAACGTCTAACTACCCACTGTTCACAACAAGTTCAGTTCACTTGTCAAAAGTTTTGTATCCACCATTTCGTTGTCCAATCCATTGAAAGTATTGACACTATTCCACTGCACGCAGAATTATCTGAAAAGAAGGAAAACAATCTATTAGGTAGGTAATCATATTTGAAAGTTTTCATTGTAAACCATAAATTGATCAACAACACAACAACTAATTAGGTAATTGATTTACTTAATCGTTTCAACTTCTTTGTTTTAATCACGAGTAAGTGGAAAACCCAAAATTTCAGATTAATGGTAAACATTTAACAGAATGTTTTCGAACGATTGTTTGAGTTGGTAAATATACTAGAACAGCGAACTATCAACAAAGGTTTTCCGTTATCGTCTACAGATCTGGGAAACCCTATTTTATCCCTCCCATCTCTGACGGGAATAATCGAGTGAAAATCGGAAAATCTGTGTCTTCAATTTCGCCCGCAATTCTTCGGGCCAAGCCACTTTTCATATTCGAACGAGAATTTCGGTGAATCTAAAATGAATGGATCGCTTCATAATTTTGGTTTTATAGACTCTTTTCTACTTTAATATTAACCCTCGCTGTACGAGGTGGGGTGTGACACACCCCAGGCCTATAAAAATCGCCATAATTTTAAAAATGTGCAAGTGCTGAATTTGAAATTCTCAGTAGCTGGAATTATGGCGCTGCTGCTTCGATCAGCGCTGCAAAATCAGTCCAGCGGTGACTACCAACTGAGTTACATGCCTTTAAAGTGCGTGTGGGTGTCACACACCCCACCTGGTACGGGACGTTGTTAAAAAAATTAAAAAATAATTTAACAGTTTTGGTATAATTTATATATTTTTAGCTTTGTTAATTGAATAAAATTCAATACAAATAATATTTTTCGTAATTTTCACGGAATCTGAAATTTTCAAGCACTTTTAGTCAAATGAGATGACATTTAGTGCGAACCTGGAAGTTTAGTACTGAGATCCGAAGATGTATGTGAACATACACTTATGGGCTACAATTTATACTTGGTGATACAATTTATGGGCTACTGAAATGGAACAGCATATTTTATAAATAAATAAAATTGTTACGCTCCCATTTTATGCATTGAGCATACTCATTTTCTTTCATCAGAATTGTAATAAATTGAAAACCGTTAATCAAAACAAATTTATACCCTTCCAGTTTTTAATTTACTTTTAAATTATAAGTAAATATCTTGTACTTTGTTAAACAAAACGGTTGTCACAATTAAAGGCACTAATTATAAATTATACATAAGAAACTGATTCCTCAATTACAAGAACAACGGAAATTGTGTCTTTTTGTTATTTTATGATAAAAATGTTATAATACACATTTTCAGCTCAGAGCTTTTCTTACACCTAATTAGCATACGTAAATAATCAATATTAAATATAAATTCCACGTAAAAAAATGTTCAATGAAAATTTTATCACTTTGTATATTGGGGTATGTCATACCCCACCTGGTACGGGACGTAACTTTTAGTCACCTCGTACACGGAGGGTTAATACCAGGATGTATTAGCCTAATAAGCAATTTATTATACAGTCAGTTTAATCTCAAAAGAAATAATGTCTACACAAAAGCGGGGCTTAGCGTAAGCAGCCCACTCGCTGGTCTGAGTAACTCGCCTAAGTAATTCCAAGTAGAAATCAAACTTCAAACTTCGTCTAAATCCCTTTAATACTCCTTGCAGTATGATTAAAACTCGAAGCAGATATTAACTTTTTATTGAGGTTAAAATGATTCTAGAAAAGAATTCAGAAACTTATACAGGTAAATTCAGCACTAGAGTAATGAGAGAAATAAGAAAAATAGAAAAAGCTTTTAAAATATTATAGTACCTACCTATTCAGCATTAAAATGGTTGACAAGTAAGTAAAAAATTTTTTATAAACTTTTTTGTAAAACATGTAAATGCAACAGCACAATTTACATCGAATAACAAGATTTAAATTAGTCAAATTAATTTTAAATTCCAAAGTATCGTCACGAGATGTGTTTTATAATATTTAACTCACACAATTTATTACAGAGACACTCAAATATCGGATATAGAGCACATTCGAGTACCTCTCCTATATTAACTTCGTTTTCATCTTATAAATATAAATTCCTTTTTCATAACGAGTGAAATCTTTCATGTTTTTCCTGAAATGAGCGCCGTAATATTCAGGCGGCGCGTGTCCGACACTTGTTTGCGATACTGTGTACTGGACTAGGGAGATATTAAAATGAGTATCAACCTTCTTGGGTATAATTAAAATCGTTTGGAAGACGTGACGATACGGAACAGAAGTTACTATGTGCTTTTGTATTGAGCGGTGATTTTCATGCAATCATACTATATAAAATGGCTTATTGAAAAGTATGTTGATATTGTTGTGTCGATTTTTAATCAAAATTACTTACTACGATGTAAGCCGAGTGTTACAATTTCATACGTTTTGCATGGTCGACCTTAAGCCGGACCATACACTTATTTGATGATTAATAAGTTAGCTGTAATAAAAATTTAACTTTAAGTAAAATTGTATGTGCATTTTGTATTCATTACTATATTAGTCTCTCAGTAAATCTTAATAATGAAATAATGTTCGTACGAGTACAATAAATCATCAATTTGTGGAGAATATTATATCACACCAAACGTAGCCAAATACCAATAACAAAGCCGTACTAACTGCGAATGTGATTGTTAACGCTTTCATTTGCCAAAAGCCCCCAGAACATTGTGCGATTTAAATTCAATGGCCATTGCGGAGCTTATTTCGTAAGATATACACCGGTTGCTACAACCTAACACAATGGTCTCATTAGGTATTCTAGCTAGAGCATTCAACATCAGCAAGGACTATGGCAAAAGAAATTTAATTTCCAGCGTTCCTTCTTCCTCATCATGCAAAGTATATTTTAATAGCCTTTCCCCGGAAGATTGGCCGCCATAGCGGAACTAGCGAGGCGTTCATTTGAGTCCGTAAAATGCAATTTTAGTTAAAAATCTGATAAAGTTACGGAGGTTGAAGCAAAATAAAAGCTAATTATTTTATTGAAAAAGAAGTTTACTAGACCCAAGCATGGATAATGAAAATGAATATGATATTTTTCCTTGGCGAGTCAGCCAGAAAGTTAAAAAATCTATTAAAGAAGTCTTTTGATTCCAATTTAATTTTAGGTTCCTTAGAATAGGCACTATTATGTAAAATAAAAAAATCCACTAGGTATGTAAATTATCGCATAACTTTTTCGTTGATTGAGATGCATATAAAAATCTACGCCTTTTTAGAAACCTAATAAAAATAGAGCGAATCGTAAGTGAGCTCTCTGATGATAGTCAAAGTAACTTAATAAGTCTCTCGGCGATATTGAAACCTACTAAAAAGCCTGACGACAGGCCGGCAGGTCGTTAGAACTTGAAACCTTACTGAGGGAAGCTTCAAAGATAACTTTTACGGTCATACTTTGATCAGAAATTGATATTTACTCGTACTTATAAGAGTAAAGTCTTATTAATAGAACTGATAAGATCAGATGTATCTGATGTTCTGCGAAATATACAGGTTTTGAACGTGTGTTATACTTATACCATATTTTGATAACCAGGGTCATGACCACAACGTTACAAATCACTGGACGGAAAATACAAAGCTCTTCTCAGGTATTTTTCCACAAAATAATATTTATTCTGTACCTACACACAGAAGACTTTGGTATATTTCTTAAATAGCAACGTAAAAATTTAAATCAAATCGAATAATTCTGATAAAAATAAGTAAACACACGACGTTATTAGTAGACGTGATTTGGTAAAAGCTTTTTATATTACACTCATCCTCATAATGTAGTTGACGTAATCGTGTAAGCAAATATAAGAACACGTGTTCCATTAAATGAGACATAAAATGATAAAATATAGCCAACGTTCAGTGGAAATAATACTCTTGCAAATAAAAACGATGTCAACACATCCGACGCTGTAGGAAAATTAGTCGTGGCCAACAAATCACGGGAGGTCGTATATTTTGAGGGTATTTTTATTGCGCTGCAATAAAGGTCAAATTGCTTGAAAAAATTTAGAGCGCAAAGACAATTAATTTGTCGGAGCGCCTTCAGGTCTCGGTTTAAGACATCTGGACACTTGGGTTATTTATTGGGACTATTATTCAGGAATGGCGCCAGCTGTGACGTCACACGTGCCGATGGACGGTTTTTCCGCCAGTTCTAGCCTCTAAAATGATTACCATGATTCATTCTGCTCATCTCGTTAACCTTAATGGTCGGATGATTTGTGGACGCAATTCGCCAGCTATTATTTATTTAAGTGGGCGCCGAGTGGTATATTGAATTGGAAAGATACAAAAATGAGATGGTTTCGCAGAAACGTGTACTAACATTTCTTTCATACTGAAAATGCAACTTACAGTTTTACAAACTTTGAACATTAATTTTACTTAATTAGTTTTCGTTGTGTAATTTTTAAGAGACTGTTTCTTGTTTGCAGTAAGTATCTACTTATTAGATTTAAATCAAGAGTAGTTTTAAAACTCATACGTAATATGTTTTTTTAAATTTCTTTCTCTAGCGGTTAATGCTCAAAAAAGTTTTATCCCGAGCAAATCATAAACCGTGATTTGGTACTGTTTTAATAAAAATTCGCAAACTTCCTTTTGGGGCTTTGAATAAATTCAAAATGTCAACGGGCATAATGAGAAATTCGCTATTTTTATGGGTAATCAACGTTCCACTGCGATGCCAAAGCTTTTTATTCTTTTTGTTTCATAATATCTCCCGAGGCGTGCGGATTTGTCGCGAAAACTTTTCTTTCACCAAAAGGTTGTTAAATTACTGGAGTTCAGAAAAAGTCATTTGAAAACTCGAAAAGTTGATCCCATGCGTGCTATCATCACTGAAATGGAGACACAAAATGAAGGAGTATTAGCAAGCTCTTAATAAC